ACTACATCATGTATATCACGTAATTAAGATGATAAACAACGTCAGTACATAGAATCTATACTTCAAGACCATCATGTATAATTTGTGAAGTTGATACGGAATATTTATCAACAAGGTCTTGGTATCTTCCGATGAAATATTTTTAGAAAATGGACGAGACGTTCTTTGTCATTACCCTGGTTCATCAACTTTCTGCTCAGACACTGGTGACGTTTTATAAAGTCTGAGTAGCAGCTGCAAGCTCTTGAATACCGAATGAGTTGGGGAATGTATATCCCATATGCAGGTGAAGTTGGTATATTGCTTCTAAGGTGGGGGAAGTTGATAACTTCAAAATTAAAATCGTCTCGTTTGTCATAGATTCTGGTGACCGCTTATGTCAAATTCGAGGTATAAGTCTAAAAATGAGGCGGAGGAAGCTGTGTCTGTTGTTTCTCTAATTTCTAGTTCTGGAGGATATATTAATGGAACCCAATCAGAAAAGTTTGACTGTAGCGAAGGACAATATTATATATTCACAAAACATGTTACTGTGTAAATCAAATTAAACCCTTTACAATTCATTGATAACTTTCTGTTATGATTTTTTTTCCATAACCTTGCAGTATTAAAATATATTAGAAACTACTTGATTCTGTCTAAAACTGTCTTTAGAACCGAGAACAGGGGACTCGTAATCTTTTCAATATCATGTAAAGCTACTTTTATATATATCACAGTGGTGAACCCCGGAGTAGGGATACGAAAACTAAGGGACAGCAGTAATAAATCACATTATAAAGAGATGCCTGTTGTCAGCCCCATCCTCACCAAAACAGTGTTATAGCAAAAAACACACAAACTTAATTCGCCTTGTATTATTTCCCATTGACAATACTTTTTGAATTGAATGGAATATATACTAAACAAAGAAATAAATAAGCTATAAGCTTTAGTATGATTCTTTTGGAATATTAATAAGAAAAAATATGTATATGAAAGCGTACACCTCGTGTAATAGTATTTAATTTATGTCTTTCGTAGAGTTCCGTGGGTACACATTGTTAATTCCAATGTCTAGATAGAAATACGTATTTTCCATTTATCTGATGGAAAAATAAGCTATCATGGTGCTTTATTGCTGTGCGACCAAGTATAGCATACGCTTGATCATACTCCTCTTCACAGTAATAACACATGAGCATTGATTTTGTTTTTCCAAAACAAATTTTCATCAAAACAAATAATAAAGGAAACATTTAGTATGTATTTTCTGTTAGATAAAAATACATATACCTGCTTTACACACACAATGTACGTGATACTTAAGTATGGGATATGATGATTTATTTATTAGTTGTAATTTGCTTTGAACTAGCTTTTAGTAACTGCGAGTACTCTTATATCGGAACTGTGTGTCTATTGTTTTTATGTCAGTTGTTTTGTTTGAGCTTTGTACCGATCTATTGAGTTCAGCCATTTGCAGCTAATTTTTACAGTTTGTTTTTATGTTGTGCTGTAAGCCTGTAACACCACTGTCCATTGTTAGGAGAGGGTTGCGCGCTTACAAACATGTTTAACATCGGAGACAAATCCTAATTTTTACGGAGATGTTGTTTACCGATCCCGGAAAATTAGATACGATCAATCCTTTAAATAAACTTATTATAAAAGGTTACTAATTCAACACTGTAATTAGATCTTTAAATATTGTTTTTATTGGTATAAATATTGATTTTGTTACCAGTAAATTAAAACCAAACTAATATTATTGTTATATACATATACATATGCGCATTAACGGTTCCACTATCTGTCGATACCTGTATTGTGGCATTGTACAAGGTCATGTTTTTCTCTGACTGTTAATGACGTCCTTATACTAAATCCACTGGATGTTGGATGTCTGTTGATTGACTCTTTAGTCTTAGATAAATGATTTTTTTATTAGTTGTTATTGGCTTTGTTCTAGCTGTTAGTAACTGCGAGTACTCTCAGATCTGGACTTATTGTCTTTTTTTGTTGTAGGGATGTATAATACCCTGCCACGTCCGGTCTGTGTTTTGGTTACATGTTTTTCTGCTTTGTATTGATTTGATGAGTTAAGCCCTTTTCAACTGCTTTTAAATTTTGTTCATATGTTGTACTGTTACACCACTGTCGCAGGTTAGAGGGGGGGTTGGGCGCCCGCTAACATGTTTAACCCGTCCACATTCTGTATGTGCCTGTCCCAAGTCAGGAGCCTGTAATTCAGTGGTTGTCGTTTGTTGTTTTTGTATTTCGTTCATTGTTTTACATAAATCAGACCGTTAATTTTTTTACCGTTTGAATTGTTTTACATTTTTCATTTCGAGGCCTTTTATAGTTGACTATGCGGTATGGGTTTTGCTTATTGTTGAAGGCCGTACGGTGACCAATAGTTGTTAACTTCTATATCTTTTGGTCTCTGGTGGAGAGTTGTCTCATTGACAATTATACCACATCTTCTTATTTTTATATTAACCTCGCTACATTCTTCATGGGCCTGTCCCACGTCAAGAGCCTGTAATTCAGTGGTTGTCGTTGGTTCATGCCTGTCATATTTGTTTTTCGTCCATTGTATTGTATACATTAGGCCGTTAGTTTTCTCGTTTTAATTGTTTCACATTTTTCATGTTAGGGTATTTTATAGCTAACTACAATTCAAGGTATGTGTTTTTCTCATTGTTGAAGACCGTACGGCAACCTATAATTACTTTTATCTTCGTCAGTTGTCTCATTGTAAATCAACACATCTTCAAATTCTATATATGGATGTGCTCACATAAATATTGTTAGAATCACGAATATTTACTGTATGAAACCATATCGGAACGCGAACAAGAAGATTGTTCACATCACGCAAATTTACTGAATGGAATCGATAAACGCATGTTCAACCCACCATTTTTTTTCTTAAAATGTCCTGTACCAAGTCAGGAAAATGGCCATTGTTATATTATAGTTCGTTTCTGTGTGTGTTACATTTTAATGTTGTGTTTTTGTTGTGTCGTTTTTCTCCTCTTATATTTGATGCGTTTCCCTCAGTTTTAGTTTGTAACCCGGATTTGTTTTTATCTCTATCGATTTATGAGTTTCGAACAGCGGTATACTACTGTTGCCTTTATTTAGAACGTTAGAACATGTGTACTTGGGAGTTGACTTGTTGGATAGTTCCACCATTTTTGCATGGGCGTGGACATGTTGGATTGATTCAAACAAACGTTAACCCGTGTGGGTTAAATAGAGTAGACGTGCATGATGTCAACAGTCTTTAGCTGCGCGCAGACATGTTTGATCTATTCAAATATACGTATGCTAGAGTCCATGTAATTTATTAGATGTGGCAAACAATTGTATACACAAATGAACAATGTTTTTTATGAAATGTACGTGTTACGTAATACAGTATTATCAAACTGGTTTAATGCATCGGTTTCGTGCTTTTAGAAATACTTTATTTCAGAGTTAATCAAACGTATATGCATTGACATAAAATATTATAAGCCAATGAAATTTTGTGTTTTCACTCGATAAAAACCTTGACCGCACTAAAAAAAAAAACCAGACTCCTCTCGAAGCAAACCAAGGACATATACAAACGAATTTATTCTAAAATGTCCTTCTCAATGCAATAACAAGAATTTTTGTCTGTATTTCTAAAGATATATAGATTTATAATATACATTTCCTTTGACATTTACATTGGTATTTGTATAGAAATAGCTTTATTATATATTTTTAAATAAAGCATTGTAGAGCTAAATCAAGATTTTATAACATTAGACAATGTAGGGTTGATGATATCTTTTTATCCCAAATACTAACTTACCTTGGATGATATATATGATCTTGTATATTAAGTTCAAGCATCTTCATCACGTCTTACAACAAAAGAAGTCTGTTTGTTTTCATTTTTGATCATATTCACTCGAAAAAAATGTGGTCACACTATACCAAACCCGATCAAATCACACAAAAAAAACACGATCCAAACCGGACACTATACTTTCTGTGAATGTTTGTTCCTCGTGACGGATAATCATGGATGATTACAAATTAATGATCTCTTTACAGTACATCTTGCAGTCTCTATAATTGAAAAAAGTATAACAAAAATACAGAAAAAAACTCCAAGGTAAATTCTAAATGGGAAAGTCTATAAAAACTAACAAAAATCAAATGTTATCAATCAACGGAACGAATGAAAAATAACTGTCGTATTTCGGACTTGGTACAGGCATTTTCCGAAGAAAATGGTAGGTTAAACCTTGTTTCACAGCTAGCTGAACCTCACACTTGAAACCGATGTCTGTACCAAAGTTGTATAAAATTGTGAAAACAGTAAAAAATGTATTGTCTCTGACATATTGTGAAAACAATAGTTCAATTGTCCCTGGCATGTAGGGAATACAGTAACGTTGTATTGTCTCTGACATGATTAAAAACAATAAAGTATCGTTGTCTCCGACATGTTAGGGAAACAGTAAAGTTGTATTGTCTCTGACATGTTAGAAAACTGTAAAGTTCCATTGTCTCTGACATGTTGGGAAAAAGTCTCTGACACTTTTGGAAACGGTTAAGTTGTATGGTCTCTGACATGTTGGGTACATAGAAAAGTTGTATCTGACATATTGGAAAACTGTAAACCTAAATATCATACGTTGCTGTCAATCTAAATCTTTCTTTCCAGAGATTTCCCACATGGCAGATCTCATTCAATGTTGGAGGACACTAAGTCGTGATCGCCTTGGAGTATCTGAGGAGAAAACATTAAATTGGTGGAAACATATCCAGTCTCAGTACAGCGAGAGTCACAGATATTATCATACACTGAATCATCTGATAGATATGTTTCATCTTTTCAACGGACATAAAACCAAAATGTCAGAACCAGATTTAGTGTCATTAGCTATTTTCTTTCACGAGTAAGAAACAACACACACTATTTAATGTGTTTTCTTTCACGAGTAAGAAACAACACACACTATTTAATGTGTTTTCTTTCACGAGTAAGAAACAACACACACTATTTAATATGTTTTCTTTCACTTTTAAGAAAAAACACACACTATTTAATGTCTTCAAGTAAAATAGATGAATACCAATCATCGTCATTTTCTCCTTATAAGAAAAACAAAACATTGTATCTACCAACTTATTTTATGTTTTTTTTTAATTTAATTTTTTTTTAAATATCAATGTATTTGTTTCCTTTTAGGCTTTGGACATTAGGCATTATTATTCATGCATTTACGGAATGACTGTAATATTTTTCTTTCTCTGAAGAAAAAAGATAAAAAAAGTGGTGCACACTGAATAACCCGCGTAACGGGTTATTTAAAAGTGTGCACCACATTTTTTTAAGGTTATTTCGAATAGACAGAAAAAATATCACAGTCATTCCTTATAATTTAATTCTAAATTCTATTTTTAAAGGAGTAAATTTTGAAAAAAAACGTTGGTGACGTCACGGTCACATGACAAAATTATGTCTATGAGCTGACAAAACACTTTCAGCCAATCAGAAGACGTGTTACATCCAAAATTATATCTTCTTAAACTTTAGATATGCATGTTATTTTATTTAATTTCACACCTAGCTGACCACTATACGTATTTTTATCTATGTTTTGCAGTATTATCTATGATCCTAAGAAGAATGACAACGAAGAGAGAAGTGCTGACATGTTTGTGCAATATGCCAGGGAATGCTGTGTCAATCTGGTAAATATCAGTTTGTGAACAAAAGGAATGCATGGTTAAACTGGTAATACTATATGGTTTTTTTTTTTCATTTTGGCACTTATAAAGGGCCAAATAAAGTATGACATCGAAGAGATTTGACGACCAAAAATTCAAAAAGATTTTGCAAAATACAGCTAAGGTAATTTATTCCTGGAGTATACAATCCTTAGTATTTAGAAAAATTCAAAGTGTTTTAACGGTTAATTTATAATTATGACCATATCAATGAGAATTCATGTCAACACAGAAGTGCTTACTACTGAGCTGGTGATACCCTCGGGGCAAAAAAAAACCTCCACCAGCAGTAGCATCGACCCAGTAGTAGTAAATAAACTCATGGATACATTATTAAAATTGTGTCCTCCAGACGCGAGTTTTTTTCTACAAAAGACTCATCAGTGACGCTCGAATAAAAAAGTTTTTAATATACCCCAGAACGCGTGATAATAGAAATTCAGTATACCACAGAACGCTCACGTAGTGTGGCAGTGGTTCAGTATATCACAGAATGATCACATAGTGTGACAGTTATTTAGTATACCACATAATGCTCGCTTAGCGTGACAGTAATTCAGTAGACCACAGAATACTCGCGTAGTGTGGCAGTAATTTATTATACCACATAATGCTTGTAATTTAGTATATACTAGAATCTCGCATAATGTGGTAGTAACTCAGTATAAAGCAGAATGCATGCATAGTGTGGTGGTATTTTAGTATACCATAGAATGCTCACCAGGTGTGGCAATAGTTCAGTATATTAAACAATGCTCGAGTAGTGTGATATAGTTATTCAGTACATAACATAGTGATCGCATAGTGCTACAGTAGTTCAGTTTGAAACAGAATGCTCGCAGTGTAGTTGGTCAGTTTTTCATTGTACCGCAGAATGCTCGCGTAGAGTGGTAGTAGTTCAGTATGCCAGAGAATGCTGGTATAGTGTGGCAGTAATTCAGTATACTTCTCACAGAATCTTCTAATAGTTTGGCAGTATATCAGTATACCCCAGGATGCTCCCAGCGTAGTGGGACAGTATTTCAGTATACCCCATAATGCTCGTGTAGTGTGGCAGCAGTTCAGTATAAAACAGAATGTTCAATAGTTTGCCATTAATTCAGTATACCTCCGAATGCTTGCATAGTTTGGTAGTAGTTCAGTATACTTCAGAATGCTCGCTTAGTATGGCAGTAATTCAGTATATTAAAGAATGCTCGCGCAGTGCGGCAGTATTTTAGTACAATCAATAATGTGTGAGTACTGTGACAGCAGTTAAAAGTATACTTCAGAATTCTTGCGTAGCTTGGCAGTAATTCAGTAATATCAGAATGCCGTTTCTATCTGAAAATTATCTCTTTATTATACCAAATAAGCTAACACTTATCATTTAAGTACAGTTATACTCTATTCATTTTTCTATAAAAAGAGGGAAAAGATATCAAGTAGGCACTCAAAACCAATAGAAAAACATACAACACCTGGACAAAACGACGAAAAGACAAGAACCAGTAACTAGAATCCCACCAAAACCTTGGGCTAATCTCAGGTGCGTCTCCAGGTTCAGCAGTTCTTGCACCACTGTTGATGCACGATTTGTCTCCGAGGATGATATCAGCCCAGTAGTCAGCCCTTTTGTGTTAGCATGAAATATCACTGATGTTCATTTTCTATAAGTTTACTATATGTCAAATGTTAAATTATTCGAAACAATAAGGGTTTTTTTTATACCCAGGCATACATTTTTAGTTATATTTAGCGAAACGTTTGGGAAATTACCGTATGTAATGCTCTTCAATTTAATATTTGATTTGGGAAGCGCGAGTCTTGAGTACCAAATTAATATTGAAAAGCAAAGAACATGAGGTATCCATCCATGACACAAAATCAGTTCATGCACAGGAAAAAACACACAAAAAGTAAAAGAACACCGCTTTTATTGCTGTTTTTCGTCTCAAAGTCACAGTGAGGCCTTCAACACGGAGCAAACAAAAATTAAGATGGTATCTTCAATGAATGTTCACAACCACTGGTACGATCCACTACAAGTTTTGTGTTGATTAACGCCATGGCTAAAAGAGAAAAAGACCAACAGACAAACAACAGTACACAAAACACAACATAGAAAACTTCAGAAAGGGCAACACGAACCCCACCAAAAACTGGGGGTGATCAAAGATGCTCCGAAAGGTTAAGCAGATCCTGCTCCACGTGTGGCACCCGTCGTGTTTCTTATGTAAGTACAAGCCCGGTGATAAGTCTAATTCGGTAGGTAACATTCGGGGGAAAGGGGACGGGATTATAGTTACGACAATTGGAACATATCCGTCTGTGAAGCAGATATTTCATAAAGGTCAACCAACTCGTGATGGCGTCCGTAAAATTTAAGAAGGGATGATTTCAACTTCACCACTTGGAACTCTTGGTTTTATAGCTCTCTTGTGAGCAATACAAGCCCTGGAATATCTTATCAACTTTGAGATATATACTCCGTATGCAGGCGCTGCTTGAATGTTGCTACATAGAAATGGAAAATTCACAATTGGAAAGCTGAAATCATTTTCTTTTGTCGTAAAGTTTTGTTTTCCCCCGACCCTCAGTGCCATTTTCTAGATGTGAGTAACGATATAAGGCAGACTTAACTGTATCTGTTGTATCCTTTATCTCAGGTTCGATGGAATATATGCGTTCAACATATTCACCAAATTTTGAATTATATGTGACAGAACATCATTTATATAGCGGAAAGTGAATATAAACGATTCTGCTAAATTCCTTTCTTTCTTCTTAAGAAGTTCCTGTATGAAATCAGCCTCATAAGAATAAAAGAACAAATCGGCAAAAAGAGGGGCACAGTTGGTTCCCATGGAAATACCGATTGTATGTTGAAAAACACGTCCTCCAAATGTAACAAAATATGTTGTCAATCAAGAAATCAAGCATCTTGATTTTATCAGTATCAGAATTTTTTGTTTAAATCAGTGTGATTTTTACAAAGTACGATTCATCCCTCCTAAAGACAAGATACTTGTATCTACGTTGGCCATTCTTTTTTTATGAAACATAGCAGGCCCAATTCTTTCAATTTGTTTTTAGTTTACAATGGGGAATACTTGTGTAAAGTGTTGAAAAGTCAAATATTTTAATACTATTGCAAGATGAAAGAATCAAAGGTTGTATGTACTCTAAAGGATCTTTGGAATTTTTTAGTACCCACATCTGATTCACGCTACCTCCAGAATAGGTAGTTTCACAATAACCGTGATTACCGGCTTTGATTGCTGATAAAATTGATGTTAATATTTTAGAAAGATGTTTCGTGAAGCACTTGGAAGATCCAGCAATATAACGTCGTTTGTAAGGACGCTTATGTAGTTTTGGTATCCAATACAGTGAAGGAAGATCACGTTCGTCATCTTCAGTTGAAATTCCAAAGGATCATAGAACAGACCTATGATTATTCATCATTTACTCCTTGGTAAGGGAGCTACCATTTGATTTTTATGGGGAGGGGCTAGGATGAAATTTAGAAAAAAGGCAGGACAGAAGTTTTGAGTAAAAAAAAAGGCAGGATGAGCAACTTAGCAAAACAATAAGGCAGGATGACAAATAATGTATAAAAAGTCAGGATAAACTAATAAAAAAAAAGGCAGGACCGAATAAAGTGAAAAATAAAAAGGCAGGACCGAGATTACAACAAAAAAAAATGCAGGACACAATTTTTCATCCTAGCCCCCCACCCCTAAAAATCAAATGGTAGCTCCCTAAGTGTCGTTGTGGTATACATTGAGTTTCCAATACCTAATTCATTTATCTAGCAGATTATGTAATGTGATTTACACACAAAAACTATGTTGTTTGGTACTTAATCTGCGGAGACAACAACATATTTATCATGGAGGAAGGACAGGTGTTTTGCAACATTTGGGTCTTTAAAGATTGATGTAGCATAGGTATTCATAGACCCATTAAGTTTTTCAATTCTGATTTGTATCAATGACCTCACAGTCTTATTCCATTCGGAAAGAGAATATTTAGCTGAACAGTAATAAGGTGGCCAGTCGGACTATATACGAATGGGGAACTAGCACAGGTGCAATCAATATTGAGATCCTGTTTGTAATTAATTTTGGTTGCAATTGGTTTGGTTTAGGTATATGACATGACTGATCTTTAGAATAGGGCGGTATTTTCGAGTGAACTGATTTATAAAGAAGGATATTGCCAAAGTTGATGGCATCAAGACCTTTGTTTGCAAAGTAATGTTTTAAAAAGGATCTTTTCATCTTTTCCAATGCGAACTGTTTTGAAAAGTCTGTGACTGGCAATATCCGAGATGATAGCTGTGAGTTTGTATAGGTTTGAACGGGGGTTTGTAACAGTGGTTTCCAAACATAAGTTGTACAGAGAATGCAGTTTTGAAAGTGGCAATGCATAAAGCTTCGTGCGAACGTGATCAATCCCTAATGGCTTTTGTATAAATAGCAGCAGGTCATTAATAAAGACATTATTGAGATTAGGTGATGTATAATGACGATGACCATGACTGCATCTACGTCGAGGAGTAGAGTTTAAAATTTCTTCACATTCACCGAGCTACAGGAAGGACTAGATAAAATACATATACCATCAATTTTGTCATTGCAACTAGAGGGTATCGCAATTCCCAATTGGAATCGATTAGTCTTACGTAGCAAAAGCTGCATTTGGAAACAAAGGTTTCGGAATTTTCTGTATTCAATGCTAGTCAACTTTCACTGTTTAGATATTAGGAAATATCTATTATCTAACTCGTAGACGTCACCAAATGCATATAACATCGGCCATGTCATGTAAATTGCTAACCCTATAAATGTGAAAGGTTGAAATAAAAACAAGGGTTTCAGGTCAACGTATAGAAAAGACTGTTGGTTGTACGTTAATCAAATCAAGTAATCATTACAATCACGTGCATAACGAACTTATTGGGAAATATAAACTCCGAAAGAAGGGTGCAAAGGAACATCACTGTCCACAAGGACTAATATATATGTTAGTGTTATAGTCCCCCAACTGTCCATGAAAAATAAATTAACAATAGGGAACAAATCGCCTCTTTTGTCCAAATATGTTTGGTATAGAGATCCCGTTTGAAACTGAACTGAAAGTTTCAAGCCAAGAAAAGGACAATTATTGCTGTTCAGATCAGATTTATTGCAGTCAGTGTCATCGGAGTGAATTTCCGCTGTATAATTAAAGAATTCTTGGTTATCTAAAGCAAACTTATAATCAAGTTAAGGTAAGTGTTAAGGTCTTTTGACATATGTTTTCTGTGTTTGTCTTTAAACTGTGATGTAAATGTTATCTACCACTTCCTTCCATTCCACCAACTCAAGGTACAACATGTTGGAGAGTTAAGTCTTCAATGCTCTCAACTTCACAATTGATTTGATCTTCCAATCATTTTGGTTCGAGCGTCACTATTGAGTCTTGTGTGGAAGAAAAGCATATATATCTTAATAAACTAAAATATACTGCAGTTATGAGGATTTCTTAAATAACATATTTTATTTGTTCAGTATATCAAAAATGTAACAAATAAATATAAAGAACCAAAGACTAAATCATGATGGCTAACAGTTAATGATGTAAAAAATGAAGAATATCATCTGTTTAACCTTTGAAAAATATCATCTGTTTAACCTTTGAGCAATATCATCTGTTTAACCTTGGAATAATATCACCTGTTTAACCTTGGAACAATATCATCTGTTTAACTTTGGAATAATATCATCTGTTTAACCTTATGCATTCTGAATTAAGTTAGCAACCACAAGTGGAAAAAATCACTTAGTTTGAAAATATTTACAAATCGACTTAACTTGTAGAAAGAAGAGGAAATAAACAAGGTTAAGGACTGGATTCTTTTGACAAAAACACATCAGGTCATAGATGTAGGATCAGAAGACTATCATTATTTTCTAGATATTGATATGGCCGTACTGGGAAGACAAGAAAAAGGTAGGCATTTATCTATTTCTAACTGAAGAATAAAAAATAACAAGTCTGTTTATTGACTAGTTTGTTATGCGTTATTGTCATAATTGTATTTATTGACCTATTTGTTATGCGTTATTGTCATAATGGTATTTATTGACTAATTTGTTATGCGTTATTGTCATAATGGTATTTATTGACTAATTTGTTATGCGTTATTGTCATATTGGTATTTATTGATAACAATTTACTAGGCTTACTTAAATAGTAAAAATACATAATTTTAAATTTGATATTGTTTTTTCTTGGGCACACATACTCCGTAAATAATGTGTATTAAATAATAAGTATAATATGATGTTGGTGACCAACACGCGTTTCTTAAATAACCTCCATCAGTTACGCTCGAGAGCAAAAGTTTGGCCAAATTTAAGTTCAAGAGAACAAAATTATAATGATTATTTTGTGTAAATGTACTGTTTATATAATGTTGAATCGAAGCACTAAGGTTTTATCTACTGGGCATAGTTTGCCTTAACCGTATTTGACCCAACATTTTTGGGATTTCGGTTTTTAATGCTTTTCAACTTTATATTTCATTTGGTCCTCCAATTTGTTTGATTAGAGCGCACAACATGCCTTCAACTTTATATTTCATTTGACCTTCCAATTTGTTTGATTACAGCGCACAACATGCCTTCAACTTTATATTTCATTTGGCCTTCCAATTTGTTTGATTACAGCGCACAACATGCCTTCAACTTTATATTTCATTTGGCCTTCCAATTTGTTTGATTAGAGCGCACAACATTTTGGGGATTTCGGCTTTTGATGTTCTTTAACTTTAAATTTTATTTGGCCTTCCAATTTGTTTGATTAGAGCGCACAACATTTTGGGGATTTCGGTTTTTAATGCTCTTCAACTTTAAATTTTATTTGGCCTTCCAATTTGTTTGATTGGAGCGTCACTGATGAGTCTGATGTCGACGAAACGCGCGATTGGCGTACACAATTATTAGCCTGGTATCTTTGATGATTTTTAGCTCACCTGGCCTAAAAGGCCAAGTGAGCTTTTCTCATCACTTGGCGTCCGTCGTCCGTCGTCCGTCGTCGTTAACTTTTACAAAAATCTTCTCCTCTGAAACTACTGGGCCAAATTATATCAACAATCATCATTGGGTTATCTAGTTTAAAAATATGTCCGACGACCTCGCCTGCCAACCAACATGGCCGACATGGCTAAAAATAGAACATAGGGGTAAAATGCAGTTTTTGGCTTATATCTCTGAAACTAAAGCATTTAGAGCAAATCTGACAATGGGTAAAATGTTCATCAGGTTAAGACATATTTGCCCTGAAATTTTCAGACGAATCAGACAACCCGTTGTTTGGTTACTGCCCCTGAATTGGTAATTTTAAGGAAATTTTGCAGTTTTTGGTTATTATCTTGAATATTATTATAGATAGAGATAAACTGTAAACAGCAATAATGTTCAGCAAATTACGATCTACAAAAAAGTCAATATGACCAAATTGTCAATTGACCCCTTAAGGAGTTATTGCCCTTTGTAATCAATTTTTAACAATTTTTCTTAAATGTTTGTAATCTTTTACAAAAATCTTCTCCACTTAATCTACTAGGCCAAATATAATTAAACTTAGTCACAATATTTAATAGGGTATCTTGATTGAAAAAATATATCCGATGACCCTGCCATTAAACTAACATGGCCGCCATTGCTAAACATAGAACATAGGGGTTTACTATAGAAGTTTATTGGAAAATTATAAAAAAAACAATTTCAAATGGTCACATCTTGAAAACTTATTTAAATAATTATAAGGGTCTCTTCAGTAACTATTGTAAGACTACAGTGGGATGACCTGCTTTAAATTTAACTACTGGGCCAAATTAAACTAAACATGGCCTCAATCATTATTAAGATATCTAATACTATTTATTATGATTTTAACCTTTAGTTATTTAACATGATTTCCAAAACCACAGTAGAAAAAGGTGAGCAACACAGGCTCTTGAGAGCCTCTACTTTTTTTAAAACCTGACATATTACAGGTTACAAAGAATATGCAGATCAGATAAGAGAGGAATATAAACATATACCTGACAAGGAATATAAAACAAGAAGATCTAAGGTAATGATAAGAGAGGAATATACACATTTACCTGAAAAGAAATATAAAACAAGAATATCTAAGGTAATGAGAGAGGAATATAAACATATACCTGACAAGGAATATAAAACAAGAAGATCTAAGGTAATGAGAGAGGAATATAAACATATACCTGACAAGGAATATAAAACAAGAAGATCTAAGGTAATGAGAGAGGAATATAAACATATACCTGACAAGGAATATAAAACAAGAAGATCTAAGGTAATGAGAGAGGAATATAAACATATACCTAACAAGGAATATAAAACAAGAAGATCTAAGGTAATGAGAGAGGAATATAAACATATACCTGACATAGAATATAAAACAAGAAGATCTAAGGTAATGAGAGAGGAATATAAACTTTTATATGGCACAGAATAAATGACTAGAAGATTTAAAGTGATAGATTAAAGAGATAAAACATATTATCTGGCGATCTGTTGATCGAGATTAAGAAATGGAGAGGGTTGAGATCTTATAAAACTAGTTAAACTCTCCCCATTATCTTGTGCTTGTTTGACATGGGGAACCCCGTTAGCAGTAGATGTATGTCATATCTTGATGTTTGTGGAATTTGGTGTTGGTGGCAGATCATAGTTATGGTCGTTTCCAATTAGGTTGAAATACTGATCCTTTGTCCACTTATTGATTTGCCTTTTAACAAAATCGTGGAATCATGCTCTTTATTCAAATCTGATTGGATATTTTATGTTGCATCTATTGTTTTAGTTGAAATATTTGAACATTAACGTTTGTCTTTCACCAGTCAGAACAGAGAGGCGAAAGATACCAAAGGGACATTCAAACTCATAAGTCGAAAATAAACTGACAACCCTATGCCTAAAAAACAAAAAAAAAAAAAGACCAACAGACAAACAGTACACAAAACACAACATTGAAAACTACAGACTGCGCAACACGAACCCCACCAAAAACTGTGGGTGATCTAAGGTGCTCCGAAAAGGTAAGCAGATCCTGCTCCACATGTGGCACCCGTCGTGTTGCTCATGTGAGTACAAACCCGATGATAAGTCTTGTTCTGTAGGTCACATTCGGCGAAAAGGGTGCGGAAGTGTAGTCACGACCATTGGAACATATCCGTTGTCATCTGTGATATAACAGATATTCCATAACGGTCCATCAACTCGTGATAGCGTCCATAAAATTTACGAAGAGATGATTTCGACTTCACCACTTGGTACTCTTTGTGTAATACCTTTCTTTTGATCAGCAACCCTCTACAGAGGCGGATTTAGGGGGGGCCAGGGGTCCCGGGCCCCCCCTTTTGTGGGAAAAATTTGGTTGATTATATAGGGAATCACTGAAGCATGACTGGAGTGGGCCCCCTCTTAAGCAGTCAGTGGGCCCCACTTATGAAAATTTCTGGATCCGCCACTGCTCTATAAGGAAATCATGATAGAAAACACAAGGCCTGGAATATCGTATCAACTTGGAGATATATACTCCGCATGCAGGCGTTGCTGGAATGTTGCTACATGGAAATGGAAAGTTTACAATTTGGAAGCTGAAATCATCTCTTTTCAACCGACCCTCATTGTTATAAACTGTCTTAGTCGTATTTGGCACACCTTTTTGTTTTTAATGCTCTTCAACATATTCAACTTCGGAAAATGCCTGTACCATGTCAAGAATATGGCTGCTGTTTTCACTTGTTCTCCTGATCTGTTGAATGACAGCGTTTAATTTTGTCAGTTTGAATCCCCTTTTTGAATTTGTCATGGGATTCTGTATTTTTGTTATACTTTTTTCGTATTTGATTATGATTTGTCCTTCCTACTTTTTGATTCGAGCATAATTGATGAATCTTATTGGGGCGAAACGCGCATCTTCCGTACCAAATTATAAGCCTGGCATCTTTTGGGTGATGCCAGTACTGGTTAAAGTTTCGTTTCCGAGGGTATTACCAATCCAGTAGTCAGCACTTTTGTGTTGACATGAAATATCACTGATATGGTCAAATTGTTCATTTTCGGTAATTTCACTGTTAATAAAATGCTGAATTATTTGAAACATAAAAGGTTTTTCTACCACCAGGTATAGATTGCTTTATCCCCATTTAACATTACTTTTCGGAATTTTCGGTTTGTAATGCTTTTCAACTTCGTTTTATATTTGATTTGACATTCCAGCTGTTTGGATTCGAGCGCAACTGATGTCTTATGTAGATGAAACGCGAGTCTGGCATGTCAAATATTAATTAATCCTGTTATCTTTGATGAAGATTTTTTCTATACTTGGGACAATTTAGAACTTCGCATTTTGCATTCTTGATCACTGTATGTTTCTACCTGGATGTCTCTTGGTTATTCTTGTCGTTGGGGTGCTGGTTAATTGTCGCTTATCCCAAATCTCCTCTGCACTTTGACATGCGTGTTACAATCATGTATCACGACCTTGTACTTCTATCAGTATAGCGTCATAGTAAATAGGTTCTAATACGCTTTGTTTCTAACAAAACTGCTTGTTTTCAATAATCTATGATAAAAAAGGAATCCAAAATCATTGAAAGGTAAATCAATCGGACACAAGAGGTCAGTATTGCCTCCAACAAGATAATTTTATTCTTATCGTTAGACGAGAAATCTTTTCAATTGGATGTGCATGTCTTGTATTGTGACGTATGTTATGTATGCTGGAACCAAATACAGACATGACAGAGGCATCTCATAATCCCGATTTTAATATGTAGGTTCAAATTTTGCATGAATAGTTCAGCAAAATATTGATCTTAAACATTTATATATATATTAAAATATGTCTACAGTATTAGACACAAATTATAAAAATTAAGTAACCAAGTCATAATGGTATAATAAGATATAAATATTACATAAATATTACAATTAAACATTTATAGTTTACACATGCATCCTTTTGCAAATGTATTAATTTGTCCATATATGTACATATACTACCAATTATTTCAGTTTTTCTAAATATGTCTATTTTACGTATATATTGATATTGATATTGATGTCCACAACACATGTATAGTTTATCAACAGATTGGTGTGTCACCTGTACATGTATGCTGTCATATAGAATACATAAAAAGATGACATCAGGTAACAACAAATATTCAACAGACTACCGAAGAATTTTTTTTTTTCTGTCTGTACTTTTACTTTTGGCATGCTAGGGGAAACGTAACATCAAGTAACACAGTTTTTAAATTAACACAACTTTTGGCAAAATATGATCCTTCTTGCCTGTACTTTTTTTTATTGTTGTGATCAAACAGATTATCAATAATTTTGAAGAAATAAATATCAATCTATCGTTATATTTTTTTTTAGGTTTTATCCAATTTCTGCAAAAGAGACAGATTATATTCAACAAAGGAATTCTTTGATAATTATGACAATCAAGCCAAAGAGAACATGGCTAAAGAAATAGCAATCTTAACAGAATAAAACAACTTTTTGATGTGCTTATAAAGTTGCCTACCTGAACATTTCCTTATCTCAGTGGAATAAAATGTATCATATATATATATATATAAATAATAAAGGTTGTCTAATGATCAATGCCATAGTATGACATCATGATGAAGAACAACAATTATGTTACTGTTTATATCTCAGACCATACATTTCTAATGCCTTTCTAATATATACATTTACATCTCAATGGCATTCATACTACTCCTACTAATTTATATATTTACCAAACGTTCTCTCTGCTGTAATGTTATCACATCAGTTACAAGATCTTTACAGTATAAAATGTTTTAATTTGATAATTAGAATCTATGAGTACAGTTTTATGATTTAACTATGCAATGTAATATGATGTATAAGTCAGTAACCTTATCAACAGACTGTACAACTGATTAGTATCATTAAAAAAAAACTTGACTGATATGTTCATGCACTGCTGTACATGTATACCTGAAAGGAGTGTCAAGAAGTCAGTATGTATATCATTTTATTTTCTCCAAATCAAATATTTTTCATTTGACTTTTTTGTTTTACGTGTGTGGGGGTAACGATTGCATTTTTAAAAATGACTGCCAGGACAGGGCCAAGGATTCTATATGAAAATGATATGCACAATGGTAAAACAAATGCATATATCATTGACTTTTTTTTAGTGTTTCACCTGAAACTGACCTAATCACACACTTCAACAAATTGTTGACACTGCCGACACCAGACGAAGCACGCCTAAGTCTTGCTTTCATGACTTCATCAAGGAGAGACCAAAAAAAACCTTGTATTTTCCCCCAAAATGTTGGACACATCACTTCTATCTGAAAACTCGATACAAGTGTGTATATATTTCCAGCCTTCATACATTTTTTTTTTTAAATCCAGTCATTTTGACTCAAAATATCACATCTACAACATTCTAAAAATCTTTCTTCAAACAAAAAACTTTTATTTTATCAACAAAATATATAAAAAATAACTTCCTCTAAAAAAAACCAAAGCCTTAATATTCATAATTGATCTTATAGATAGGAATGAAATGATAAGTAATACGTCCATTTCTAGGATTAAAAACAAAATTCAAGTACTTACAAAGCGTTTTATGGTCGTACCGGCCGACAAATCAGCCAACAATGTGGTGGTGGTATGACGTTAATACTACACGGAAGTCCTTAAGAATGAAATTATACATTCAACTACATTCAAGGCCGTACGCTCCACAGAGAGTCATATAGTAAATAATCGTGTCACTACCACATCTCAGCTTAAGGCCTCCTCTGAACATTTGAAGGTTCCCCCTATGTATTGGTAACCTAAATTACACAAAAAAAAACCATAAATTATTGTTTCATCTCGGCCTCTAGTAAGTGTTCTACTACTAATCTTTTGGTGCTTTTAACGAGTTCCTTAACTACTATCAAAGAACGTATCATTAGTTTTATAATTTAACATATGAAAATAGTAGAATTAACCATTTTTGGAGTGTAACAAAATCTTTGGATGTTTTAGATAAGTAACTTGCTTTTGATGGTCCTTTTTATTCAGTTGACAGTTTTGACTTTTCCACTCTTTATACTACACTTCATCACAACCTTATCATACAAAAGTTTTCCTATTTAATAAATGGTCGTAGCTAATGCCCCTTTAAACAAAGTTTCCTAAAAGAGAGGCCACAGATACCAAAGGGATATTTAAACTCATAAGTCGAAAACAAACGGACAATGAAATGGCAAAAAAACGAATAACGATCAAGACTTATAACAGTATACAAAACACAACATATAAAACTGAAGACTGAATATTACTATTGGTTAAGACAAGAATAGAATCAACCCATAGAAATTCTACTGAAATCAAAAACTGTTTCCAATGTTACCAGTGATATAGAAAGTTTACTGAAATGAACATCCTGTTTTTTTTTCCGAATCACATATCTATTATTCAGATAACATCTAGTGCCCACAATATCAGGGTTGTACAACAAATGGCTCTTAGAATTCTGAATATGTTATCCTGTCCTTCTCAACTTTATAAATCATTCTTACCACATTGTTAAGTAATAACATAACACAATGTAATAAAGGATAATCATAACAAGAAACAGTTAACATGCTGCCAGCATTCTATGATCATTCTCTAATAATATTTTAATTAGTATCGTCTTGTTCATTTATGAGTGTTTTTATTTTTAATTTGTATTATTGTTTTCATTGTCTGATTTCAATCCTTTAACAGATTTAGATTACTATTTTTGTTGTTTTAAAATGCAGGTTGTTGTGTTACTAACTTTTCATTCATGTGTCTATTTTCTGAAAATCTTTTTTTTTATAAAATGTTAAAATGATTAGAAATACTAAGGTTTTTTCTACATTGAGGCATAGATGGACCACTTTTTGGAATTATTTCAACATTGTCCCACTCTATTCATGTTTTATACTGAATTCAGATATACTGTAGGTACATCACTCGACACCAGTTGTCTTGTAAACTCAGCCAATGTTGCGTTGTCTTTTCATAATAGCTGTAGAATGGATATAGAAATCAATCATAAGCAGTAACAACACAGGCATCAGATGGACTCTCTTGACCTATATAGATGATATGGCCTTACTGTCACATCTAGAGACACACATGCAAGCCGAAACCACCAAATTAAAAAAAAACAAAACAAAAAACGCAAGTATGATATGACTAATCATCAACGTCAAGAAATCAGAGGTTATACCCCTTAACATCTCAAAGCCCCCTGGGATAAGTTTAAATGGGAAATATCTGGAATGCACTTCATTGTTTACTGACCTGAGCAGCAACATCTGGGGGAGGAACAGACAAAGACATCCAAGCCAGAATATTAAAAGAAAGAACTGCATTTGTAAAGCTATGTAACATCTGGAAGTCTAACAACATCAGTAAGAACACCAAACTGACTACATAATAGCCGTGTGCTAGCAGTGCTGCTATATGGGTCAGAAGTTCTCCAAAACGAAATTATCAATTCGTCTACATAGAGGTCCGTACGCTCCACAGAGAGTCAAATTGAAAACAAGCATATCACTGCCACTACCCAGCTTAAAGCCTCTTCCGAACATTTGAAAGTCCCGACTATGTACTGGTTACCTAAATTACACAAACAACCACTTAAATTCCGTTTCATCGCCGCATCTAGTAAGTGTTCTACTACTAATCTATCAGAGCTTCTAACTACCTCTCTTACTACTATCAAAGAACTTGTTATTAACTTTTGTAATAAAGCTTATGAAAATAATGGTATTTTTGGAATGTTAAAAATTCATTAGAGGTTTTAGATAAAATACGTGCTTTTGATGGTCCTTTTAATTCTGTTGACAGTTATGATTTTTCTACTCTCTACACTATACTTCCACACAATCTTATCAAGAAAAAGTTTTCATATTTAATTAAATGGTCTTTTGAAAAATCTCATTGCAAATTTATTTGCTGTAACTCGTTTAAAGCCTTTTTCTGTAACGAAAAAGGAAAATATGCTAGATACACTTACTTGAAATGTGAAGATATGATTGAAGCTTTAAATTTTCTCCTGGACAACATATATGTACGTTTCGGCGATAAAATGTATTGACAGGTAGTAGGTACTAACTGCGCCCCTTTTATAGCAGATTTATTCCTGTATTGCTATGAATCTCAGTTTATGACCAAACTCAGTAAAGACACGTCATTGTTACATTTGGTTGATACATTCATCAATACCTATCATTATCTTTATAATATTTTTTCGTTAAATAATCAAGAGTTCTCTAAATATACTACCGAAATTTACCCAAAGGAACTTACTTTAAATAAATCTAACATAAACATCAGTAGTTGTCCTTTTCTAGATTTATACATTTCAATTTTTAAAGGGAAACTCCATACTAAAATGAACGACAAGAGAGACGATTGTTCATTCCCTATTGTTAATTTTTCTTTTTTAGACGGCGATGTTCCTTTGGCTCCATCATACGGTGTTTATATATCCCAACTCGTTCGTTATGCCCGTGTTTGTAGTGATGTCATAGATTTTAACGAACGTAATCAATGCATCATTGGTAAATTATTAAGTCAGGGATTTCGTTACCATAAATTTGTTAAAACTTTTACTTAATTCTTTCATAGATACAAAGATTTGATTAGTAAATTTGGCTGTACCTGTAGAAAACTTATTAAAAACGGTATTTCACATCCTAATTTTTACGGTAATATAGTACTAAAAGCGCGGAAATCACTATGTGATCCGTGTAAACTCATCGAACTTTTTAACAAACTTATTAGTAAAGGTTATCTTACCAATGTTGTAATTAGATCTTTGAATATAGTTTACATTGGCACAAAATGTCATCAGCAAATTAAAACATAACTAAATTTGTATTCTTTTCAAATGTTTTTTTGGGATGTATAAATACACATCCACGTTCATTTTCTATATAGAGATTACTCTATCTATATATTACATTATACAGATTTTTTAACAAGTTCACTCCTAACTATCCTACTGCCTGTCGATACTTTTATTTTGGCATTGCACAAGTCATGTCTTCTTTGACTGTCCATGACGTTAAACACTAAATCCCTGGGATGTGTTTTAGTTGATTTTAGTCTATGATGCATGCTTTTTTATCATTAATTGGTTTTGGCTTTTAACTAGCTTTCAGTAACTGCGAGTACTCTCAAATCGTACTTTCATGTTAATTTGACCTGTTGATACAATTTGTGATGTATTTTTGTTATTTAATGTTTACTTAATCAGTGTTATATCTAGTCTCACTATTTTTAATATATACCACCTTTGATAAGTATTTAGTATGACAATAAATTTTCACTTTTGTTCTCATACTAGGAACAACAAAATTATTTATTTTGTAAAAATTATTCCCGTACTCCATGTATACATTACAACAAAATTATTTTTATTTACCTTTGTATGTTATTTTATTTGGCGGCATTTTGTCCAAGGTTATGGTTGTCTTTCTAATATTGTTTTACATCTAATCCCCTTGCTTTATTAATTTTGTATTTACATTGTGTCATAGATCAAATTTATTCGTTCAATGTATGTTCACTTGTTTTGGTTAATATGTCTTTTGATTAATTTAAGCCATTTCAATTGATATTTTATAGTGTGTCTTTCTATGTTGTGATGTTACACTATTGTTTCAGGTAGGGTGAAGGTTGGCGCCTATTAAAACGTTTAAACCCGCTGCATTTGTTTGCACCTGTCCCAAGTCAGGAACCTGATGTTCAGTGGTTGTCGTTTGTAGATATGGTTCATAAGTGTTTCTCGTTTCTCGTTTTTTATATAGATTAGACCGTTGGTTTTCCTGTTTGAATGGTTTTTCACTAGTCATTTTTGGGGCCCTTTATAGCTTGCTGTTCTGTGTAAGCCAAGGTTCCGTTTTGAAGGCCGTACTTTGACCTATAATGGTTTACTTTTACTAGATGTGACTTGGATGGAGAGTTGTCTCATTGGCACTCACACCACATCTTCTTATATCTACAGAATGTTGGAGAATGACC